GTGTCCCAAGAGGCAAGTCGTCCAAGGTTGGTCCGGTTCCGGAGGTTGGTCCAGATCCCCACGTTGCGAGGCGAATAGCGGTCCAAGTTCCGAAACCCAAGCCCTTGGGTGGCCTCTTCCTGTCTTGAGCTGCAAAAGGGCTCTTGAGCTGTAAAAGTGACTGGTGAAGAAGGGTGGAACAGCAACATACACTGGGGAGCAGAGTTGGGCGCTCAGTAGGCTTACCTTGCCCAAACCAACTCATCGGTTTCAAGCCAAAAAACTGAGTCAACGTCATAGGTCCAGCTGACAAATTCTTGAATATCCCAAAAACGATTCAAGTGATATTTATTCAGACTGGTTGTCCTCCAAAAGAACACGTTTGATGTACAGAACCCTTCACTCCCACAAGACTCTGTTCTTTCTACGTCCACGGCCCTGTCCACGTCCACCAGCGAGGACGTTCCCCCAAACCGTGCGCTGTCCCAAACGTCGTGGATGGTGGTTTCATGCGGCCTCGGGCGGAAAGGTGCGCGATGGATCGTGTTGGTCTACGCTTTGGCTGTTCTAGTTGGTCGAGGACGTCGTGTTCCAAGGCATCTCTCAAAGCCAAAAAAAAGCCGTCCAAATCCGCACGTGCGATGGATTTGTGGTGGCTGGGCAGCAAAGAGCTGCACTCATAGTGGTACTCCTAGTTCCAGTCCTACTCCTACTCCTCCTCCCACTACCACCACCACCACCACTACCACTACCACTACCACTACCACTACCACCACCACTACCACCACCACCACCACTCCTGATGGTGCTTGTCTGGAGTCTCGTTTTCCAAGTTTTCTACGTACCTCTGATGCCAAAGTACTAACATGCACAGGAGATCTCGTTTTATAGCTCACCTCTACCTCGTTTAGCGTGGCCACAACGTCTTGGAAAACAATATGCGGCCACCTCCAAGCTATTCTTTATGTCGGTAGATAAATGCGGTTGCTTATATACTGCCTTTGAATCACATGTCCCTCTTCTCTTTCCCTCTTCTCCTAGTACATCCTCCGGGCCGACCGCTCTGACCGCTCCCTTTCGGCGCCCCGGCAGCTCGATGGTGTCCAGCTTCTCGGGCTCCTCGCCGTCAGAAGACTTCCACAGCTCGAAAGGTGGATCCATTTGAGAAAGAATAAGACACTTTGACTTTCCATTTGGTGGAGACAGTTTTCCATGTACACGACTTAGAAGTGCTCAGCCGGTGCAGGGTGGATTATCCCCATCTACCGGACATATCGTCGCAAATCACTGCGCTATGAAACATCTAGATCTAACGAACCATAAATATGCTGGTGCAGTAGCCGATCACGTGGCATGACATTGCCTGCGTGATCGAAAGAATCCCAACACCGAATATCGTGCTAAATCTGAAACGCGACCGAACAAAGTGAACGCGCCACCAAACACTGCGTTTGGCTACCGCCTTTGGTGGTGGGCCGAACGCCGCGTTTGGCTCGGTCGAGTCGGAATTGCCCCCTCTTTTCGACCGTTTTCAACGGCGCGCTCCTTGGTGAGGTCCCCGAAGCCGCGACAAAGCTTCGTCCAGGTACTCCCTGCTTCGTTGCGGAAGACCTGAATGCGCCGGCAGGACGGCCGGTGCGAAGGGAGCAGACCCCGCGCAAGGCCGGCATCGATGCGGATGGTGGTGTAGACCCGCCCAAGGGGGCAGACCGAAAGGCATAGACGTTTTTTTTTGCGCGGGTGGAGAGGTGGAGAAAATTCATTGTGGCACCACCCACCCAAGAATCCCAAACATGGATTTCTTCATCGTTTTTTTGTTCCCAAAGAGTTTGGTTTCTTCCTTACTGCGTCTTCTTTTCGCTGCTCGCCATGCTTGGTATCTTGGATTTGCTGAAGTAACCGGAAAACAAAATACAAAACATATTCCACAGGGGAGAGAAACTATAAATCATCCGAAGCAAAACCGGGCGTCGTATGCTTGCTGGGCTTCTGGGTTTCAACAAAGTAACCCTCCTGCGTGGCTGCCAAGGAAGAGCAGAAAAGACCTGCTTCCTTCAGCCATATTGGGACCAAGCTTTGCTGATACCTCTCTGGAGACCTCCCTTCTCTGGAAAAAACAGGGAGACTGTGGGGGCACATGATCCTTTATCCCTGGCATTGGAGTTGCCCTAGCCCTCAAGGACCTTTGAATGAGCCAACTAACTACTGCTCTCCCTGTATCTTCCAAAAGAGTACCAATGCTTTCTAGAAATGCTTGAGCTTCGAAAGCTCAAAATCCAAGAGTCTCAATCGGGGCAAAGGGCCAAACCTGGAGAAAGTCATTGGTACATAGCAAAATGAAGCTATACTCCACTGCAAACGAGCGAAACTGCTATACCTACCCTACTACCCAAGCAAACACATGTTAGAATCCAGTTTCTGAATCGGGACGCCCTGTAGTTTCTGAATCGTCTTCTGTTCACCTCAGCTCGCCCTTTCCAGCCACATCTAACTGCACTCTGCAGAAACGTCCAACCGCGTCCTACACCGAACAACCCCCATTCTCCGAACATCTGCAGACTATTTTCATGATTGTGTGTGTGTTGCTTCTTCCAGTCCCATTTCTATCCATGTCTCGTCTCGTGTCCGGTCGCCGGACCAATTTTTTCGCTCGGCTGGTCAGCCGAGTTTCTCTCGCGGAGCAAACACCACCCGCATTTACAGTACCTGGTTCTTCAAAGTGACCTTTTGATAACCTGGTTTGAGGTCACTTATATAAGCCTCCAACAGGGTCACTTAGGAACCTTCAAAAGGTCACTTTCAAGAAGCTGGTAGATGGATGACTATTATATAGAGATTGGTCATGTCATCGCTGTATGGCGTTCCGAGTGTGATCTGAAATTCCGGTGGGTGTGTAGCTCAAAATAGGGAGACCGACCCCCGTTAACGACCTCCTTGGAAGAGGAAATATAGACCAGTCTACCCAGCCAGAGCCAAAGGGGTAACACACCCAACTGGTGCTGCCAGGCCTTCTCGTTACCCACCGCATTGGTGACCTCGGGCAGAGCCTGTGGAGATGGTAAGTCAGTTGAAATAGGATGACACGAATCAAAAAAGGAGTGTTCAATGGGAATCGACAAAAACGACAGAATGGTCCTCTCATCAAATCCAGACTGATTCCGCGATCTTCCCCGATATGTAATGGTCAGTATCTGAGTATCACTTGGATTTGCTCAAGCGAACAATATTGCGCAATATGGTCCTCCACAAATGTTTAGTTCTCTGTCATCGAAAGTAGTTTGTAGCTCGTCAAAGCTTCCTGCTTTGTCTTGGCGTTGAAAACTATACAAGTGCGTAGAGCCGTACAGAGTGATCTGTCTTTGATGTGATGAACATGCAAGAAAATGTTCCTATTCCTTCAGCAGCTCATCTATATAGCTTGGAGTTCATGGCCTGCCAGTGATCTCAACAAAAGCAGCCGAACCACGCGAAGTGGACAAACGAAGCCTGCTCTTCCTAGCAAGTTGCCTGCTCGGCCATTCTTCGGCAGACACGTGTCCGACATTCTCAACATATCCAGTGAGGGCCATCCTCAAGTCATCAAGAGGCTCTTGGATTGGCTGTCCAGGAACCGCAAAAAAAACAAAAAGAAAAAATAAGAAACATCTTGCCCCAGAAGGGGATTCCACCTATAGCCTATAGCCATCAGATTGTGTTCAGTGTTCATCTGAATGTAAGCTGAAGGCTTATAGTGTAGGGTGGGCAGTGGGCATTCTGCCCAAAAGCCCTTAATTTACGGCACTGAGCTAGTTGCTGCAGCTCCTACAGCCATCCAAGCAAGCTACACAACACCTCCAGAAAACCATGTCTTCAGATCTTCCAACCATCCAACATTCCCACAATCCGAACTGGGGGGGGGATGAAACAGCCCCATTCCACCAGGCTTCGAACCGAACCAACTCCCCGTCCTCCCGGAGACGTTTGCTGCGATCCATCGCTTTTGGCTGGCTGGCTGGATCTGGATCCGGGGGGGGGGGACTTCTTGGATCTGTTTGGGGATCTGTTCACTTCTGTTCTGTTTGGTTCGAATTGAACCCTCCTCACTTCTTCGATCTGTTTGGGTTCAATTCGAATATGGTTATAGAATGTGATGTCGTCCACTGCTCAACATGAGCTGTGGCTTGGACGGATTTGCAAGTTGCGCTATGGAATGTGATGTCGACATGAGTTCCGATCCATGGGTGTCTGGAGTTGGGTGACTACTACGGTCGCGCTAAGCCTAAGCAGGTCAGAGAACCGTGGCTTCTTGGTCGAAAAACCTCCTGGTGATGTGCATGTGCATTCTCTGTGCAGTTCCGCATGCTCCTCTGATGTGGTTATAGCCTGCCGCTTGGTGGTTGCAAGGCCGGCAAACAATCTGAACTTTCAAGCTCAGTCGTTCGTGCGGGGCGCGAGCGACAGTGACGCTTGTAGCCCTGATCGATTGGCTCTGCCCATGATTTGGTGCGAAAGGTTGCACTTGAGTGACCTAGAAATATCTATAGGGTTCAAGAAAATTCTCCGTGCACACCCGCACGCACACATAGCTGCCCAAATGAGCCTAAGAAGTCTTAACCCATGTTCATGGGAATCATCAACGATGACCGTGCAACTCTTGGAAGTCTTGGCACGATGACTCATGCTAAGACTTCTTAGGTCAACACTTCCACAGGTGCAAATGGGCCTAAGAGTCTTATTTACAGCGGATTCAGAGTAGATGGCACACTCCCCCAGTCCAGGTGGTTTTATAAGGACCACCATCTGTTTAAGACACATCTTCGGGTGCCAGTGCCATCGAACCTCTGAAAACACGGTGATTTCGTGGTCCACCTCACCGGGCGAACTTTCAGTCCAGGACTGGATCTGATGCTCGTGCCATCGAGGGCTGGATGCCCCCGGTTTTTTTTCGGATGCGGAATCCATCTACTCTAATGTCGGTTTTTGCCCAATAGTGATGTTTCATATAGTCTCATGAGATGCAAGGGAAAACTGCAAGAGTATATGCCAACCAGAAATCATACTCAACTAAGGTCAGTTCCCCATTTTGGGGCAGCTGTTCCCCTACGCGACGCAACGTGGCACCCGCACGCTGCATCGTGGGGACCGATCGCTTCAGAAAGTGCCGACACCCACCGAGTTGAACTCTGGTACCCTCGGGAAGTGAGGTGAAAGACGTCGTCTGTCACGTGCCGAAGGAAGGCGCACGGGGTTGGAAACCAGTGCGAGAAATCCCGAATGGTTGGTTGGAGAGATCAGTTTGGTATCTCTAAGGTGCGTATAGGATGATTCACGAACCTGAACTGAAGACAGCCCTATAGACAAATGTCCTAAGGTCCTAGGGTGAAATCGTTCGCTGATCCACGCGTTCACATGTTCAGTTGTTGTAGACTACTGGCGAATATATGTTCTCCATTGATTCGGTGAACTTTCAAAGGTTGAGGTTTCACTTATGGCCCACAAATGCCTGGAGAAGTCCGAGACGCATACCGCCGACTTGTCTTCCACCGAACCAAAAAAGGCAACCTACTCATCTGCAAAGAACCATGAAGAAATAACGAGAGGATGATCAAAGGCCTAGGATGAGTATATAATGATATGTTTTCTCATGTGCGAATGACTTGTTTCACATGATAAAATATTCATTACTCTTTCGATGTGTTCTGTCAAACTGCCGTGTTCTTCACCCATCTGCGTCCGTCGCGCACGACATGGTGGGGATTCAAGGCCTAGCGCTCAGCGGCAGAGGCCGCAGCAAGGCTTTCGACAAGACGCCGACAGCACAAGACGCAGGCAGCGGCCAGGCCTGCAAAATTGGGGGTTCCGCCTTGTACTTGCAACCCTGTAGGCTTCGCTATTTCAGCTTTATCAAAATATTTTTGCAAACATGGCGTTGGAGGCCATCGGTATAGGTTGGAGGCCATCACTATTAGGTTGGAGTGCTATAAGGTTGGAGGCCATCACTTTTTTTTGAGGCCTATGAACAAAAATTTTGGGCTCACACAGCCCCAGAGGAAAAAACATCCATGCATGAATGGATGAAGATGATGCCTTGAGGGTCTCCTGAAAAAAATCAAACCATATTATGTTCGCTTCCGACATGAGAATGCATGGGTAAGAACCTTGGTGTCCCACAAATACGCAGTCCACATCAAAGCTTCCGTCAAGAACACGGCTGGCCAAACATGCTTGGAGATGCGCATGATGTCTTCTCCAATGTTGGACCCAGTTTCGGTGCAACCACGAAAATAAGCTCTCTCAAAAAGAGTCCTAACCCTATAGAAGTTGCTTTAGAGGGTTGAAACTTCGAAACCCGTTCTTTCTCGCAGGGCTATCGCTTGGGCGGCAACTTGGGCGATGGTCTCCTTCCGTTGGTGATTTGCTAAGGACCACAAAACGCCATTCCTGAAACCCCAAAAAGAGAACGTCCTTCCAAGCTGGTCCAGAAAAACCAATCAAAAAACGTTCTCTATTGTTTCCCCATCCATCCATCTTTCGTCCCCTGAAAGAGGTGGGGCGCCGCCACCGGAAGAAACCACTCCGCCTGCCCGGGCTCCTTGGGCCAACGCACCTTGGGGCTGGGCACCTGGCGTCTCGGGCTGGGGGTCGGGTCCGACGAGCGGCAGGCCGGAGAAGGCAGGGTTTCTGCTTGAGGAGACTGGTCATCCGAAAAAAGCATGTGTGGAGTTTTGAGGAAGCCTCTGGGCTGGAAGCGTCTGGGAAGTTCTGCAAGGTCAAACTATACAGCTGTAGGCTGTAGGTCTTTGGGAAGTGTTGCCTCTACCCTGATCACCCCGCACACCTGTTTGTTCAGGAATAGACATGGTCGACATCATGTCGGCATGTTGCCGATCCGAGATCCATATTTTTGCGTAGAAGTTTGACTATTTTTGTTTGTTTTAAGTTCAACGGGAAGTCCGCAAAGAAATTGTCCTCGGCAGGGTCACTGTGACTCGCTAACCTGGAAACTGGATGGCAGCCAGTCCCTTGAATGGCCATGCAATCCTCTATGAACAGGTGGTTTTCCACTTTCATGCATATTTCAAGGAGGGTAGGTGTTTTAGTTGAGAGAAAATAGGGGTGAACTCCACTTCCATGTGATGTGGGAGCGAGTGAGTGTACCGGATGGATTTGGTCAGTGAAATCGCCCAAGGGCGTCTCTACGCCAGGCAGCTGGTGTATGGACCCAGTGGATGAAGATGGTTGATTGGAATTCTTGGGACATCTTCATGCATATGAGTCCTATACATGTGTGCCATGGTGCAAAAACTTCAACACGTCTGGGTAAGACCCCAAATCAATGAACCGATTCCGAATGGACTTCAACTTTCGGGTTGGGCAGGTTTTGATTGATAGGCCTCAGGATCAAACATGTCTTCACCAAATGTGGGTCATCTCCCCCCAACGCAGCAGGTGGATCTCGCCCACGCAGCTGGCTGAATGGCATCGTATATGTGTGAATCGATCGATCCTATGAACCTGGTCGCTTCGGAAGTTAGGGCAAAGTGACCTAAGAGACATGACTTGGACGTTGAGAAAAGTGAGAAATTCCGTATCTCTGTAGGAAGTTTAGAAGTTCACCCCCACCCGACCCTGACCTTGGGCCGATCATCCATCTCAGCAGCCTGGAGATGCAGTCCAAAAATGGCAACGGCGGTGGGAGTCGAATAGAAACACCGTGGTGTAGCAGTGGTAGTGCTGGTACCATGCGTCCTGGCAGTAGTCGTAGTAGTAGTCGTCGTAGTACTTGTAGCAGTTATAGTTATATAGGTATATAGTTGTAGTTGTGGTTGCAAGTTGAACTTAGATTTGCTGCTGTTGTGTTTAAAGGGTTCCTGCCAAATTCAAATACAGACAGCATCCTGGCTTTTTGTCCTGCCACCCAGACCCATCTCTTCTTTAGGCAATCTCGATTCCAACCAGTCAGATGGTCCAACTGTCTTTCATGACAGCCCAAAGCCCCCACTCACCACGCCTACCTGCAATCAGCCTTGTGTAGTATGTGGATGTGCCTTTGATAACGGTGCCATATGGAGTGGGGTGGAACGTCAGTCATAAAAGCCCCTGAAATCTAGGTGTTTTTCTGGTACGTAAGTCCACCCGTGTTATCGGCACATCTAGTAGCTTCATCAGTGGTGCGAGACTATCATCGCGCTTCGTTGATGTACGGCTCACACATGACCACTTCCATGGCATAAGGCAGTTTGGGAGGCCGTTTGGGACGTTGCGTTCATTGCTTTCTCGGTGTCACAAGGTGGTTCTTCTCCTCCAGGGGCGCATCAATCACAGACGCCGCGGACCGACCCGGCGGCCACCCGAAACCCGTCCAGCGCCGCGCGGGCGCGGGGACCCGCGCGCGGACAGAGGCCCCTCCACCCGGCGGAACCGCGGCACGAGACAAATCGCCTCCGGAATGGGCATCTCGTCCCACCTCTCCCATGGCTCCTCCTGGAGAAGAGCTGGGAGGAGTGGAGAAGGGATGGGCCCAGGAGAAGGGCATGGGACTTCGAACACCTGGATCTCTCTCAGGTATGCAGTTCGTGATGATTTCAGGTCATCCGACCATCCAAAAATGTGTCGACATGCCGACACATCCCGAATGGAATAGATATGTCGGCATGTGCGGCCAACCCTTCGATCTCAACGCACCCCGAGGAGAAGCGTCCACCTGACATGTGAAACAGAGGCCATGGAGCCTGCCAAGTGTCTCTTCTAACGGCTGAAGTGGAGCTGCTAAAACATGCTAAATCCCAGCCGGTGAAGCATGACATGACCGGACATGACTGAAACTGGTTAGAGATGTGTCAAAAGATGTCATTAGAGATGGGCCACATGGCTGAGAGGCCTTACCGATGTTCAAAGACGTTCTCCACCTCTCCACCTTCTGCAGGATGACTGTGCAGACCAAGAAGAGTTGGGTAGCAAAACACCAAAATTTCGTTTGGGATCGTTAAACATCAACTGACTAGAGGTGAGGTATTCCACGACATGTCGAATCACGTTGCAGTGTAAGTTATGTGGCGAATGGAACTAAGAGGCATTCCATTCCAAACCAAGTCATTCTGACGCATTCCGCTAGTCACTATGTATGGTGTGTACTCGTGATTGAAGACCAGCAACTCTCAAGTGGCCATCCGGCTGGCCACGATGCTTCAAGAGACCACCGACTCCGCGTCGACCAGTCTCCAAGACAGACTCACTGGACGTGGCCTTCGTACAATCTCACCTACTTACATCCCATTGTTACTAGTAGTATGGCATAGTATGGCCAGGAGCGCACAGTTCGTAGCTTCTTGCTCGGGCCCGATGCTCTTTGTTCCTACCCGGCAAACGATCCGAAAAGGACCCTGACAACACAACACCGATGGTTTTGGGGGTCCATGGCGCGCACTGGCGTTTATTTGGAGGAGGGAGGACCGGACCTGGTCAGCCACCTCAAAAACAACATCAGCCATCTGGTTTCAGGTTCTGGTCTGCCATCCAATGGTGGTTCCTGTGAAAGATGGTGTCATATTTACTGTATATATACCAAGAACCTGATTGACCCTGTTTTGGAGCCAAAACATGGTCTTTTCCTATCAAAACAGAGGTCACATGGGTTCTAGGTATATATACTGTATTCTGGAGCACCCAACACCTCTATATAAAGGCACAGAGCGTCATCGAGTCTTGACAGGGTGGCCCAAATCGAACCCAAATCCGAATGAGACTGGTCAACTATTGCTGCTTGTGAGCCACAGGAAGTTGCCCATGATGTTGATGTCAACCGTAAGTTGACTCAACTCTCACTTCTGCTTTGCAAGTCCTCATCGTCAGGCATCTCCTTCTTTCCCTGGGCCATCCATGCGAAACAAAGGGTAAGCAGACTGGAGTAGAAACTGAAACAAAAAAAACATTGAAATTACTACAGTTAGCCGCAGCCATACAACTTCATCTGCTGTGATTTAACGGTCATCACCTTCCCAGGTCTCTCCCCCAAAAATATTTCGCTGCTGGGCCGGTACTTGCCCAGATCCTCCCTTTGCAGGGGCCCAAAACCGCCGAATTTTGTGATTTTTTGCTGTATCTAAACCTCGTGGGGGGCTGCAAGCAGAAAAGTCGGGTCATTTGTGGTCCAGCTTCGTGCCAGGTCCGACCGCATCGACCTCATCCGTCGCACCACTCGGCCTCTGCGAAAGCCCGCGCTTCCACTGGCTCATTCGGCTCCTGAAGGCCCTCCTGCTCCAAGGCAGCTAAGGCAGCCTGAGCAGAAAGAGAGGTTGAGAGACCAGAACTAGGACCCTGTAACTTTAGAGCCCTGCAACCTCTCTTGAGAGAGTTAAGGCTTCTAAAGTGACACGTGTTCCATGTATGATCCGCGGTTTCCATCAGTTGCTGCGCCTCGGTTTCCATCAGTTGCTGCCGCACCCGCGCCAGCACCACGCTCTCCTGGGGCTCCTGGGACGTGGAGCTGCCGAGTCTTGCAACCTCGTTCCGAAGCGAACCGCACGGATGCACCGTTGTCCAAACGAGAAACGAGGATTGGGAGAGGTCTGAGTTCAGCTGGCTGAAGAGGTTCAAACTCGTGCGGCTTTCGGCGATGAAGAGCTTTCGGAACACTTTGGTCCTGGACACCAAAACCACAGATGATGCCTTGTACATAAGGTCTTCTTCCAGTGATGGCCTCATACCCGGCTCCATCGGTCGGAATCGATCGGGACCAGTGGGCCCGGACGACTGACTTCGGTTCCAGCAAGCAGAAGCATGATGTTTTGATCATCCGTCGACCCAAAACAAACACAAACTGGAAATAACCAACAACACCATATACTTCATATTATACAAATGATACAGCTTGGTGCTCCACTTTTGGTGTCACCGAAAGAAAAAGAACACGCGGTCACACCCAGATTGGACTCTGACTCCGCCTCGGCCTCGTGCTCCTCTTTAGGCCCTTTAGGCCCATCCTGCAAGGAGTCCGCCGGAAACAATGGCCTCCAACCTAATAGCAACAGGAACCAAATAGCAATGGCCTCCACCCTACTAGAGATGGCCTCCAACCTACTGGCAATGGTCTCCAACCTAAGAGCGATTGCCTCCGACCATGGTGCCGCACGAACACGCCAAGGTCCACGACGTTTACCGAACTACCATCCTGCTACTCTAGACCTGATCTGTGTACGAGGACCTGTAAGCAAGCATCCGGACTCAGGTTGTTCAAACACCAATGAAGAACGTAGACCACAAAGTGACAAAGTCAAAAAATGGTAGCCATCAAAAGTAGCCAGGGCAGTGCCTCAACATCCTGAACACATTTTGAGACAAAAAGCAGGTGTCCCAAATGGAAAAAGGAAGGAAACACCTTTACCCCAGGAGGGGAAGACCGACCGGACCACCCTGATGTCCGCGAACACTGGGCAACTGGGTGGTCTCCGCCGGACGCGGAAGACACAGAGGTTAACGTTCGCGTTGCGTCACCGGTCCAACCGAACATCTCATGCTCGAAGGATTTGACCACCTCCAAGCTGCCATGAAATCGAAGGGTTTCCATGAGAATCGAATCTTGCACGAGCGTACTGAGGCAACCTCTTCAACAGAACGATGAACCCTTTGAAGAAGAATTCAAGGAACTTGGGAGTTCTAAGGACGAATCTCAAGGCATCTCAAAGTAACTATCGCTTTTAACAATGTGATTGTTCAAATGTCACGTGTGGACAACCTCAAAATAGATTCTTTGCTCTTGTCGCTCGCGCTAAAGCCAAGGAGTTCAGTTTCCTCATGTTTCTTCTGCCCTTCTGTGCAGAAAGCTCTTTTCAACAAACAAGAACAATAATGATCGGACCCGGAGTGGTTGGCCTCATCTGGGAGCTTTGGAGCTCACGAACCTGGGAGTCAAAACAGGACACACACGCGAAGGGGGCGCGTGTAAGCCGCCAGCTGCCTCTGTGTTGGTCTCCACCACATGGGTCGTGTCAACCACACGGCCCATCGGAGAGTCCGGTCCGGCGTTTGGGCCGCGGAGCGAGGCAGGTCGTTCTTGTTCGGAGCACACCGGGTCGTTGGGAAGAACTGCTTGTAAGGACTTGTACAGTGGTTTCTGAGGTCCGATGGCACTGGCACCCCAAGATGTCCTTTAGATGGGGTTCCATATAAACCACCAAACTCGGGGTAACTTGTGCCATCTACTCTAAACCCACTGTACCCTCTGTTCAGGGCTGAGATTGTTTGATGATATCCTCATCATTCCGGATTCGCTGCTTCTTAGTGGTAGGTAAGCCCAGTCCTGGGCCCTTGTTCCTCCTCAACCTGTCAGTCTTCTTCCAGTCGTTGCAGTCGTTGCGCTCCTCCCTTTTGGCTCACATCTGTCAGCTTTGAGCTTTCTGCTACGCTCACATGGAACTCCAATCATGTAGACTCTTGATTGTATTTCACCCCGCAAGCCTGAAGAAGTTATATTTCAGTCATGTCTGGGGGTGTTTTATTGTTCAAGAGTCTACATTGGCCGGCCTTGATGACATCATCCTGTGTCATGAGCCATTCTGCGCTCCTTCCTTCAGCCATTCTGCTGGTTACGGCGCTTACGGCCAGCATCATCTTCGGACCGAGACGCTCGACGACCCCGGTGTCCGAGACGACCCCGGGGGTCCGAGAGGCCCATTGGAATCGATCAAACGAAACCCATCGACCATCACCCCCCCCCCCCACACACCTGGAGAGGACGAACACCTCCCTCACCCCCCCCGTCCTCCGGCTCGACCTTGAGTGGCTTTCCGTGGGCGATGCTGGATTCTGGCTCGCTCACCCGCCTGTGAGCTGGAACAACAGCAGGACTTGCGGCACCGGGACGAAACCACCAGCTGCGTTTGCCAGAAACCCAGCTGCGTTTGCCATCGAACCGTGGTTGAGCAAAGTGTTTGTACGAAGGTTGTATTGGAAGAGTTTAAACGCAGGCTAGCGCAGTGCACCAATCTCGGACAAGACATAGAAACAATGTCCCTACCGATTACCTAAGGGGGGCGTGACCTAATTGTAAGTTACAATTTCCTAGGTTTGACACCTCAAAATAATGTAACTTACAAATACTAATTTACCTGACAAATTGTAACTTACAATTGTGAGGTTTCTGAATTGGTCAGACATCCAGTAGGCCAGAAAAATGTGATTTACATTTATTCAAAAATGTAAATTATTTTTGAGGTTTCATTGAATAGTATGGCATTTCTCAACATGTCAAAGCAGAATCAACAGTTTTTTTCTGCACCAGGAAAACTCGGAGGGGGGGTTGAAAATGTAACTACACACGTCGGAGGCAGTAAGTTACATTTTTCACCCCCCTTTAAAGCAGTAAGTTACATTTATCCACCCCCCCCAATGTGAGTGGTTTGGGGGGGTTGATAAGTGTATGTAAAGGTCTCCCACGTTCTAAGTTACATTTTTGAGCACCCCCCCCTTCCAAAGGACGTCAAGCGGGGGTAACTTACAATAAGAAAGACCCCCAGCAGGACCCCAGAAAATGTAAGTTACATTTGTGACGTCCCCCCCTCAACTCCATGGGTAAGGGGGTAGGGATGAAACAATGAAAAAACAAGTTGCCACTACCTTAACTTTAACTGAATACTTACATGGTACGCAGGCTGAAAAACACTGTCACTTTCCACCTACCAAAACATATTCGACACAGCGGCATACTTCTCACTGGTTGGGAATCAAAAAGCCATAACATTCGCACCATATCAGATGGAGTAGTCGCTATACACTGACACTGGTTAGGCCGCTTGCTGTTGTGAGGCACCGTGTCTTCCGGTCGGCTTACAGCAACGCCCAGCCTGCTTGATGCTAGCACAAGTAAGAAAGCAAGTCTGCAAGGGCTGCCAGCGTTCACAGTAGACCCCTGCCAAGTCTGCATGTAGCCCCCGCAATATCCGCATCAGTTGGGTGGGGCCTAAAGCGGCATAGCAAAGTCCAATACCCGTATGTTACACCCTGCAAGCAGAGCATCACAGAACTTTGGTCCCAGCAAGACAAGTTGCGAGGGGCACTTGTGTGACCACAAGTTCTTTCATAGGAGAAAAACATAGGTGAGTAGCTCATCACCTATTCATAGGATCTCTTCCGGAGGCAAGCGCCATGCTTTCGGGCTCGAGAAATCAAAACATGCTGTTTGAGAGACTGACCAAACCGGTGCTTTGGTGCTTTGAAGCGTGGAAATAGCGCAAACCACCTACATTACAGTTCATGTAAAGCAAAAATAATATACACACATAAATGCATGATATTTCTTGGCAGTCCCCCGAGACCTTAAGATTTGAGTCCAACGTGACAGTTGTCCCAGTGTTTGAGTTGCCTCGTTAGCACCCTAGAGTGTAACTTCCAAGAATGTTGCGGGCGAAAGCTCATATTATCATATTGGCACACAATCTTCCACAACAGGACGTTTCACGTGGTTGCTGGCACCAATGCCCTCCCTCAGCACGTTTCACGTGTCCTTCGTCTCCTTCCTTAAAAAACGTGTCTGGTCGGCCCGACTCCAGGTGATGGCCGAAGGTTCACGGACTTCCAAGCTGGGCTTTGAGTCTCTTGACACATCCAGACCGGATGGGCTCCAAGTACCTCATCAGGTAGGACTGGGGTGGGTGCCATCTCCGGGTCCAGTCATACCGAACTTGAGGAGGTAAGTTCTGAGCCCCAAGGCAGTGGAGTGTTGGGCGTGTCTCCCGGTCCTCCAGGCTTTCAGCGAACTGCTAGAGGCGTCGTTACGGGTGCCCACTGCTCGATGGAAGCACGTCTGTCTGAGCACCCGAAGAGAGGTCAGAACGACGACAGCTTCTGCTCTCACGGCTTCTCCCCCGCACCTCACATTCTTCCGGCGTGCCTGGCTGGCTGGGTGCCCAAGGCTTGTTCAAGGTGCCCAACACGCCCAAAGCCACCGAAAGGAGGTCCAAAAACATCGCGCTTCTGAAGGGGAAAAGACATTATGTTCAGTTTCCAACACACATGGATTCACGTTGAATCCGGGCCCAAACCTCTTCCTCATGTCTACACGTCGAAGGCCGCAGGAGAAGTCGGCTCTTGCCCTAAGAATCCTGGCCCGAAGCAATAGGAAGGGTTTGGTTCGGGTCACCCCTGCGAAAAGGTGGGGTCTAATCCCTTCCATGGAGGGTCCAAGGGGTCCAAGGATTCTTTGGGTACGCAGACTTGTTTCGGTCATCTTGAGACTCAGACTCCATTCCAGCAAAGATCGAAAGCATCGATTGTGCAACGATAGAGGCCTTTGGACTGAACTGCAGAACAAAATATGCTAATCATACCAGACATGTACGCACGCACCCGCATATCATCTATCGCCCGAATGAGAAGCATGGATGAGCTGGAGCAGGATGTTGGAGCAGGATCAGCATCGTGGACAAATGACACGACATTGGCTAGTGATTTGGAAATCACAACGTTGCTACAAGAGGTGTTCACATGGCCCCTCAGCATCTCATTAAGGGTTCACGTGTGATGATAAACTCGTACAAGACTGAAACAAACTGAATGGGTACCAATTGGAAGGGACATATGGACCGAACTGCCCAACAAAGTGAGTGACAACCCGGAACGAATGACCCAAGCACTTTGTGTGAGGAATTGGAGAT